TTTGCTACGGTATATACGTTCTCATTGTATTCTTTGTGGCAAACATGTTATGTCAGTTCGAGGCATGTTCAACCATTGGTCCACCGACCATGCAGACACATACAGGCAACATGGCAAAGCCCTTGAAACAGTATTGCAGGGAGTGACTCAATCTTCACCGTGCAATTTGTGTGGATGTCAATTCACTCGAAGTCACAGGTGCGTCATACACAGTCAGATTGCTATGCACTTGGTATCCACTATGCCAACTGCTCTGCCAGACCAAAGTGAAGATACTTTGCATGTATGCGACATTTGTCACAAGGCCTATGTCACCAAACATGGACTACGCCAGCATCTTCAAAGATATCATCGTACGATGGATGTCACTGACTCAGATGACTATCTCGACATGCAACAGGCACACAACATTTTGGTTGAGGCCGTTGAGACAGATGACTGCGCCATGCTGCTCTTGAATCCCATGGTGCTTGAGTATCTGGGGACCTGGTGTCCAGTTTGCAAAACAACATTTGCACAACGTAATATCTTGTCACGACACCTACGTCATCATCATGCCACACTATGGAATGATGCAGAAAGATTTGCAATGGAGCTGGCTGCACTGTATTGTCAGAAAGGTGAATGCTACTGTCCTACACCACAACGATCCAAGCACATCTGTACTGTTTTTCTACAATTCAGTATGTTGTTGCATCAAACGTTGAGGTATGCTGGAGTCACTGGACCTGCTCATGGCTTGGCTGGGGAAGATTTACCCACTGCGCCGACAGCAGCCCCAACCATTGCACAGACAGTGGCCGCCCTCGTGTTCAATGGGCAACTAGATCAGCTCTATTTGCAGCCTGACATTAGACTGAGGTTAACCATACAATGCTGCTTCTGCACAGCCCATTTTCGCAGTGGAGATTCCCTGACAGTGCACTGTCGTCAGGAACATGAAGAACTTTGGACACGCAGCCAAAAGGCCTTTGAATATCTCAAATGGGTCCTTTTTGGAGTCAGTGGTTGCTGCTGTAATCCTGGTGCACATCACGGTGATGTCCATGAATGCATCTCACTTCGTCAGATTGCCATGGTTTATGAGGACATGGGAATGCCAATCTTCATCCCGTATTGCTTCAAGGCCAAGGATGTCATTGACTTGCTGATCAATTTGGTCTGTCCAAGTCATCTCCAAGAACTCACAGTGCACCTTATGATGCGTCGATTTGGCAATTTGTGGCAACATCGAGGTCTTCTGCAAATGCTGAGGGGGACGTGCCTGATTTGCCAGACCAATGTCCCACTCAATCGCATGAAAGCTCATCTGAAAGTGGAACATCAACTGGACTTGCCGAGGTTTGCTTTTCACATGCATCAGCTGGCCGACATTTTCTACATGCTGCACAGCACAGACCCGGCTTGTGATTACTGCGGTGAGTATCTACACACAGATGTCGATTCAGATGATCTCAATCTGCAAGTGAGAGAACATTTACAGACATGTCCATTGATGATGCAGATGGCAGTGCTGCTCAGCCAACCCACGTGGGAACGTGATTTTTCAGCAGAAGTGAACTGGCCCACGCAAGAGGTGCTCTTGGAGACACATCGCAAGAGGGCCAATCGACGATGGCAATTTCAAGCACCAGTCTCAGAACCTGCGGATTGTTCCTTGATGCTTCTTGCCAACTGTGCCAAACACTACTTGGATGATGAATGGATGGTCCACTACATGTCCCATGGTTGTTTGATGTGTGGAAAACAATATTTCAGCAGACAGCAGTTTTTGACTCATCTGATGGATGCACACAACTATCACCAATACGTGACAGAAAAGCTGCATCATCTCCTGCTGATGCTCCATGCAGCCAAAACCTGTTCCTACTGTGGCTCAACATCCCATGACAGCGCGGTTGGCAAGCGGTGCATTGTAGTCTTTAATCTGGCTACTGCTCTGTGCAATGGCTGCAACATCAGAGGAGATGGGAGAACTGAACATGGATCAAGCAACCTCCATCTGGCAGCACGTTCTCAATCCTGCTCAACTCAAGCAGCTTGGCCTTGGCGACAGCAACAAGGAGAACAAAAACCCGGCCCAGCGGATGGCCAAAAGGCACAAAGGAGACAAGGCCAAACAGATGCCGGTCCCACCCAAAGGCTCCTGTCAGAGCTCCAATCAGGAGATGCTCCAGATCATGGGGAAACTCATCCTCAGACAGGAGGACACGTTGAACTCCCTTCTGACAGAACATCAGTTCCTGGTCCATGTCAACATTGGCAATGGGAGCATCCTGCCGGACCTCATCCAAGTCACACAGACATGGAAGTTGGGTCAGAGCTCCTCCAAGGATCCTCTCCGGCATCAGCTTGCATTGACCATGATGACAACGTTGCGAGACAGGGTCCACAAATTGAGTCAATCTCAAACCAACGACGAAGTGGTCAAGGAGTGTTGGCGCCTCAACATTCTGAATCAGAACATGGAGATGCCATACCTGAGGTGGAACCCTCAGGCCCAATGTCTGGAGCCCACGGCCGACAAATGCCTACCAGTGCCAGAGGTGCTGAAACACTTGGAGGGCATGGTCCGCATGATGGCAGACAGCGCCACAACGGTGCGGTTCCATTCGATGAGACGCATGGCCGACACACCAACACAGGCAACGCCGTGGCTGTGGACGGTGTCATCACGGACCAGCCCGGAACTGTGGCATCAGATCAAATTTCTGACTTTTCACTCATGTTGGCTGCTTGTGCAATGCAGGGTGAAGTGCCACAGCATGCAACGTTCAGCACTGGCTCAGCAACTGAGCAAACTGGTATGAGACCCAGACTGGTGCGGCTGTTGCTCAATCCTTCCCATACTTTGTGCTATGCCAATGCGGCCTTGCAATGTTTGGCCTGGGTGACCATATGCTGCTCCCAAGTCATTGATGCTGCTTGGAAACACAATTTTGGACTGATTGATGCATTGACCACCTGGACACCAGTGCCGCTTACGTTGTATGACTTTGCACCCTTCCAGGATCTTTTCAATGGGGGCGACTGGGGCTTACGTGGAAAAGATCGACAGAATGATCTGAATGACTTCACGTCTCACATTTTGATGCTCATGGCACCGCAATTTGTGAACAATTTCTGGAAGACGCAGCCTGCCCTCTTGCCTGATTTCGAGGGCACAATGCTGCGGGATGAAAAAGGACATGCATTGCAACCCATCGTATTACCATTGAATGACACCACCTTGGATTGCTGCCCATTTTCAGATTTGATTCACAAGTGGCACGACCCCTCAGGTCTTTGTCGATCATTTGTCGAGGCCCCTGACGTATGCTGCTTTACGCTTGACAGACATATTCCTCCATACAATATCAAAAATCAGCAGAGAGTGGATTTGCAAGATGGCCAGTTGCTGCTTCCATACTTTACTGCTGAATCTGAGATTGGATGGAAGAATTATCACATTGTTGCAGTTGCATTTCACATCGGCAGAAATCCAGCCAGCGGACACTGGCGTGCGGCGCTTCATCACAAAAGCAGATGGTTTGTGTATGATGATGGACGTTTACCAGAACAGATGACCCAATTGACACAGGAAATCCAGAGACAGATCAGTCAAGTTTGGTTGCTTGCATGTGACAGGACACCAATGGCAGATGCTGCTCGTGCGGCCGCTACTGGTCATGGCCTTTGACTTCAGGCTGGGCAGAGTGGTCGGCTGGGCAGAGTGGTTGCTGCGGCTGTGGCTGATCTTGCGCTGGCGGCTGTGCGGCTGAGCAGCAGCTGAGCAGCGGCAGCGGCTGAGCGGGGCTTCCAGGGCATAGGGCGTTGGTTTTTGTCTCACTTTTGACCCCCCTTTTTGCCTTGGATGTTGGTTTTACTTCCTTCTCACCCCTAATCCTTTGCTTCTCACTGCATGTTTCTTAATTTCCTTAGGGATCACGGCTGCTCATTGACAACGTGAGTTTTTGGCTGTTTCAATTCATTTTTCAGTGGCCTACGGGCCAGCATAGCTCCTAAGACCTCCACTATGGACATACAATGGAGGCCGTGGCAACAATCCACGAGTGGCTTGCTTACCGACTTGAAAGAGTCGTGGGGTCGCAAAAAAACACACACACACACAAGCCCCTTTGCAGTCACGAGCACTGCACTCAAGTGGATCAGCAGCAGATTCCCGTGCCCATTGATCTGACTGCCCGGCGCGACCAGCCATACGACGGCGGCGCTACATCCTTGCTGCGCAACGACGACTAGAATATTTTTTCACATTTTGCTCATCCTGGGATACAGTGGAGAACCATCATTTACAGAACTCCAAACCGCTGACATACTTCATCGACATCGAGCTCAGGTTGTCAAGGACTTGCCTTTGATTTTGCAATTTGATATTTTTCAGATTGACAACACCGTTCACCATCTGGCCTTCTGCGGTGGGGCTCCCTTCTGGGTTGGACAACAGGCAATCAACAGCGATTATTTCCTTTTTCCCATTATTGCACTGGACACCGGCCAAACCACAGCCTTCTGCGGTGGGGCAATTGCGACGATTTTTAATACATTTGACACCCAACTCCTCAGTGGTTACACCGGTTGTTTTCTGACCTTCTGCGGTGGGGTTTACAATCACAACAATTTGCAACATTCAGCATTTTGGCCTCAGGGCGACACCGTACATTCTTTTGCCTTCTGCGGTGGGGCTTGCACCTCAGGCTCATTTGATTTTGCTCCAGCACCACCTCCATTGGCATATAAATTGAGGAAGCACACCGAGCATTTTGCTGCCTTCTGCGGTGGGGCCCAATACACAGTGCACGATCATTTGGCTGATCAAGTTTTTCTGGACGAGCTACCACCCTGTTTTGGATACACCGGACCATATCTGACCTTCTGCGGTGGGGTTCACAATCACAATCATTTGCAAAGTACAACATTTTGGACACAGGGCGACACCGTATATTCTTTTGCCTTCTGCGGTGGGGCTTGCACTTCAGGCTCATTTGATTTTGCTCCAGGCCCACATCCCTTGGCATACAAATTGAGGAAGCACACTGAGAATTTAGCTGCCTTCTGCGGTGGGGCCCAATTCACAGTGCACGATCATTTGGCTGATCAAGTTTTTCTGGACGAGCTACCACCCTGTTTTGGATACACCGGACCACATCTGACCTTCTGCGGTGGGGTTTTCTGGGTACAGATTTTGCAGGCTTTTCAGATCATTCTTGATTTGAATAATACAGACAACACCGATCTGACACTGACCTTCTGCGGTGGGGTTCCCTGGCCGAGACATCTCAACCATTTGTGTGCAGCAGGACACACCGATTTTTCTGCCTTCTGCGGTGGGGTTTTCATCTCTTGCTGCTACAATTGCGGGCGTTTTCAATTTGGTGCAGATATTTTCAGTGCAACAGCAGGCAACAATCTGATCCTGTGGACAAGTGACACCGATCTGTTTCTGGCCTTCTGCGGTGTGGCTCCACTACAGGTAGTACATCTACGCACAGGTCATTGTGGTTGCTACGCAAACTGGACAGCGACAGACCACCTTGGTGTTGCCCACGCTGATTTTGCCTTTGTACCTGCATTTTCAGGATTGAGTGGCGATTTCACTATCCTGCCACTGCAGACAAGGCGTCAATCAGTGCTGGATTGGATTTGGATACTGCTACTGTGTTTGATTTGCGGTGCATTTTACAATTTTCAACTCCTGCTGGCCAACGCTGCCCTTGAGTTTGAGCGCGCATTTTGGAATTTTTTCTGGACACTCATTCTGCCGTTTTGGGATTTTGGAAACATTTTTGATTGCCTTTGGAAAGTCGTCATTGCGGAAAAAAGGACCTCTTCCACCTGTGTGCCTGAATTGTTTCAAGAAAGAGACTGCCAACCCGGTCCCAAGTCCGGGCGTTCCTGGTGCTCAAACCTGCCTTTTCACCTTAGGATCAGCCTGACCTTACTCTGCATGGTTTTGATCACTGAGAACGGGGGTGAGGGTAGTGGATCAGTCATGGGATCCACTGAAATGCCAGATATCTCCTTTTTGCAGAATATTCACCATATGTTTGGCGTGAAGCAACATGACATTGGACCACCAGCAAGCTCTGCACCCAAGAGCACCAACCTTACCGATGTCAAGAAAAGAAGTTTGAAAAGAGCATACAAGAGAGCCTGCCTGCAAGGCGTTGCATGGTATCGCGGCAGACTGTACAGACCAGATGACTTCCATTTCATGCCTTCCTTCTCCGTTTCTCCTGTGACACCAGAGACTACCTCAGTTTTGCCACCGAAAGCCCTGAATCAGTGCCATCAAATTCATGGCTCAAAATCCCGCCTCACCTGCTTGCAGTGGAATGTTGGAGGTTTGTCCACGCATCGACTGGACGAGATCAAGATTTGGCTTTCTCAACAACAAGTCCACATAGTGACGCTGTTAGAGACAAGGTGGCAGTATACGGGAGAGTGGCTTGACTCACAATGGATCCATGTGCATTCAGGTAGTTTGGAAGACCGTGGAATGGGTATTCTCACTCTGATTTCACGCAAGCTCTGCCAACCCCATGCCTTGCGTTGGACTGAAGCCATTGTAGGACGCCTTCTTCATCTGAGAGTGCCATTGCAGAACAGATCCATAGACATAGTCTGTGGATATCAACATGTGGACAAGAGAGGACCCCAATGTATGCAACGTCGTGAGCACTGGTGGGGCTGTCTGGATCGCACACTCCAGGGTCTCCCTCATCGTAATATGCTCATGTTGATGGCTGACTTCAACACCAATGTGCCGCCCTGCCCCTCTCACTCTGGCAGTGACCAGTATTGGTGGCGGGGTTTGCTGGTTCGAGGTTCTCAACATCAAGATGCTGGCCGCCTGATTTCCATTTTGAGATTTCATGGCTTAGTGGTTTTGAACTCATGGAACTCCAGAGATGGGCCCACGTATGTGCATGGGCAACATTCAAGCAGAATTGACTTTGGATGTGTTCGTAAATCCCAGGTTGATGGCATCGCCAAACAGCCGCGATACTTGTGGCAAGCACCATTCATGGGAACCACCCAGCATGGCCATGTTCCCATTGTCCATCAAATTGCGCTGTTTTGGGCCCCCACGCGTCCATTGAAACAGGGAAATATCAGTAAACAACAGAGTCTTCAGGCACATGCAGCATACCAATCCAATGCGTCTCAATGGGACACCTATGTCGAGCATTCTGCGGCCGTCATGACGCAAGCCTTGCATCAGGTATGGACCTCAGATCTGCCCCAGGACACTAGCTTGGACTCATTTCATGCTGCAGTGAATGCATGTTTTCATGAGCATTTTCCCCCCATGAGTGCTCCCAAGAGACATGAACCCTGGAGACATTCCACAACACAGGTTCTCACCAAATGGGAACATCGAGCTAAACTCCAACAAATCAGGTCTTGTACCGGTGCTGGAGTATTCAGAGCATGGCATCACCTTGCCCGCTATGCAAGCCTCAGAAGGCAACATCGCAGGTTTGCTGCTCAGATCAGGCGTTCTCATTTTTGTGATATTGTTCAACAGGCCCAAGCTGCGGCTAGTCGCCATGACATGCACCGTATGTTCAGCCTGATCAATCGCTACTCACCCAAGTCAGTGCGCCGCAGGATCCAAATCAGGAATCAAGCTGGTGCCATTGCCAGCCCCCAAGAAGAGCTGATAATCCTTAAAGATTTCGTTGCTGATATTTGGGGAGGACCCAGCAATATCCCGGTTGATTTCACTCAGGCGCCTGGAGTCCCGTTCACGGTCTCCGACCTTGCAGCAGCTCTGAGAGGCATACCATTGCACCGTGCGCAGGGGAAAGCATGTCTTCAAAATCAGCTCCAGATTTCAGCTTTGGAAATCCACTGTCATGCCAGTTTTAACATATGGACTTTTTTCCACAGGCATTTCCACCCATGGTATCATGTGTTTGCAAAAAGAAATGTACAAAATGCTGCGCCAAGTGACGTGTGACCATGCCTTTCGTACAGGTCGAACTAATCATTCTGCCTTAGCACAGCACGGTATTCCCACGCCACTGCAGCAATTGCGAGCTGCTGCCAAGCAACTTTTGCAGTCCACCACTCAACGCATGACCACATTGCAGGAAGATGATATCGCCTTGCAACTACCCTGGGGACATTTGTCTGAGCTGGTTGCCAAGCTGGAACACACTCAGGAACTGAGTCCACCGCCTGTTGAGCCTACTGAGTTGCGTGCCGGGCCTAATGCTGGTGAGATATATCAATGTTGCCTTTGTGACTTTCTTGCCACTGACGTTGCCTCATTCAGACGACACTGTACGCTGATCCATGGACAAAGGGTTCCCAAAAGACATTTTGCCACGGCATCACATTTCACCACCAATGGGTTGCCTGAATGTACTTTTTGTGGACAATCCTTTTCAACATGGCGCAGCTTTCAAACACACATTGAGCGGGGCTGTCAGGTCTTGTACTCCGGACCCTGTGCAGTGGAGCCCTACACAGCCCTTGGTGCCAAAGCTTACATGACTGGAACGGCCTTGGCTGCCGGTGAACTAGCTGTCCGAAGCCCAAACATGTTGCCTGAATCAGAGCTTGGAAATTTGAGACGTGCCCCTTTTGGACCTGCACTCTGTCAGATCCTGGAAACCAGGGATTGGAACAGACTGGAAACCTTGCCAGAAGCATGTCATTACATGGCCAAAAGATGTATTCTTTGTGGACTGCACTACAACCGTGTGCAGGAACTGAATGCCCATTTCCGTACCATGCATGGCCAATATTGGGAAGGTGTTCCTCAACGTGCAGTGTACATGTCCAACACGTGGGCTACAGAAAGACCCTGTCCATTTTGTGGGGCGTTGTTCAAGTCTCATCTTTGCCCGGTCTGGGTTCAGGTCACGGTCCTCCTCCTTTTTGGAGCTGCTGCGCCCCCTGATGAATCGCAGCCTGAGGCCAATAACCCTGGACTGCGTTGTGAAGTTTGTCTTGAAAGCTTTGAGACCTTAGCCAGTCTTACTGAGCACCTACAAAGTGAGCATGCACTCCAGGGCATGGCGTTCAATGTGGCCAGGGACAGTGTGGCAGGCAGCCCAGCGTGTGCCCATTGCGGCATTTTATACGACAACTTGTCCAGTCTTCGTTCACACATAAACCAGGGCAGATGTTTGCAATTCCGGCCGGACGCAACAGCCGAGTCCTTGCCAATCCGACCAGACTGGGTGCAGGCCTGTGTTGAGGGCCAAATGAAGATTGTGTTAGGCAATGCTCAGTCTCGCATGGCCTTGACGCTGCATTGCCAACTCTGTGGGGTGCATTACGCACGTTCCACCGACCTTTCATGCCATCTCCAGGGAAGCCACGCCAGACTTTGGCGCTGTTCTCAACAACTGACGCTGCTTTTGGTTCGGCTGTTTTATGCCTCTGGCCAATGTGTATGCAACCCATCTCAACATCAAAACCGGCTTGATCACACATGTTTGCCACTCAGGCAGCTTGCAATGATTTTCCACAAGATGGACAACAAGTTATTTGCTCCTTTTCAGGCCAGTGAGTATGCCTTGAACCTGATTTTGTCCACTGCCTTGGACCGCCACACCAGATTGATGTTTGAACAGATCGCCATTCAGCATCAGTACGAGCGCCTTTGGCAGGACCAGCAATGCTTGACCACCATGCGCACCCAATGTTTGCTTTGCGGATGTGAATGTGCACCCAGCGCAATGCCACAGCACTTGCGGGAGGTGCATCCATGCAATCAACTTGCCATGACTTTCTACATGACACTGCTGACTTCATTGATGATGGAGCAACAGCTGATTGATCATCAGTGCTATGCATGCCTGCAGATTTTCAATTTGCCGGCTGCTTCAGATGCCGCACCAGATCCAGCACGCAAGCATTTGGCTCAGTCTCACTTGCTGCACAACTGCCCCAATTTGCTGCAAGTGGCATTGTTTTTAACGGGCTTGCTTCATGACGGACGACTCCTTGATGACCAATACGGACTTACTGGCCCAGCAGCAAGTCCTGGAAACCTTCAAGGGGCTGGCACCGCTGCTTGGCACAGCGCAATTGGCCCCAAACCCAAGAGAGCCAAAACGCAGCAAACGCCATCACGACAAAGCCGGCAATGCAGCCCAGCCGACAATGCAGGTGGCCCAGACACCTCAGCTACAGCAGCTGAACGCCCTGGTTCAGCAACTGGCGCTCCTGGTTCTTCGTCACGATCGAGAACTCAACCAGAGCCGTCGAGCAGACAGCTTCGTTCTTTTTTTCAACCGAGACCCAAAGAGCGGCTTGCAGGGGCTGATTCAGGCAACGCAGACCTGGCAGGAGCAGCGCAAGTCATCAACGATACCGATGATGACGCTGAGACAACACCTGACCCAGTGCTTGTTCCAAGATCTCTTGGTGAAGGTGATGAAGATCGCAGAAGCCAAACCAGAGGACCCACTCCACATTGCTTCAGTGCAGAGTCAGCTGATCGACGGAGAAGGGAATTGGCCGTTCCTGGAATGGGATCCCAAAGCCAAACAATTGGTGGTCAGCTCCAAGCCTCCAATCAGTATGACGCTGATGACCAGACATGCACAACAGCTTGTGGAGATGTTCAAGAACCCGGACCTGGTGCTCTGCTTTCGGTCCTTGCAGACCAGTCAGGATGCTCCGATCTGCCCATGGAGGCTGCAGCTTTGTCCCCGAGAGGATCAGGAGTGGGAGCTTCTGAACAGGCTCTCCCGCAGCAGCGTGTGGACCCTCCTAGGGACAATGCTCAAACCACATGCTCTGAATCAATGCGGCCTGGCGGACACGATCCAACACACCATGGGACATCAGCCGAAGCATGGGAAGGGCAAAGGCAGACTTCGACCCCCAGCCAGTCCTCAGACGTCGACATGAGACCTCCATTGGCTATGCTGCTCCATGTTCTGAGCCATTTACGTTTTCACAATGACAGCAACTGGTGCTTTGCCAACAGCACCATTTTCAGCCTGCTTTGGTGTATGATGTCGATGCAATGTGAAGCAAGCTCATTGGGGTCAAATTTTGCAGAAGTGATTCAATGTTTGCCTTGTCACAATTTGCAATCAGTTGCGTTGAAAGATCTTGGATGGTTCAATCAGCTTCTGCAGAATTGGGGTGCCTTTCATGGTAATCACCGGGGTAGACAGCAGGATGCTTCGGAATTTGCGACTGCTGTGTTGTCGTGGCTGTGTGCACCAGCGATCAACATGACCTGGGAGCGCCGAGTGGAAGAAATGGAATGTATTCATGCACATGACCGTGGTGATGCCTTCATGCCCATTACACTTTCATTTCCAGCCACACATGTGCACCTGCCTGACACACTTTACACGTTGACACATCTCATGCGCTTGTGGATGCAAGTTGATGGAATGATTGCTGCCTTGACGCAGGCGCCTCAATGCATATGCCTTCATTTGGACCGTTTCTATGATGCCGAGGACACCATTTTGAAGAGCCAGTGCCTTATTGATATGGAAGCTGGGTGTGATGTTCCGGTATTCATTGACCACTCCCAAAGAAGGGAATTTGTCAGCTATGTATTGCTCTCTGCAACGGCACACCTTGGCAATGTGAAGGGAGGTCATTATCAGGCAGTGCTGAAAACCAGACCGGCAGTCCAGCAGAATGGACAGCCAATGCATTGGTTGCTGACAAACGACTCCATGGCAGCCCAACCGATATGGCTTGTTCCAGACTGGTTTCGGCGCAATTCCACTGTTTTCTGGTTGGCCAGGGCAGACTGCGTCCAGCTGCATGTGTATCGCCCCTTGCCGCAGACAGACATTGCAGCACCTGATGAACCAGATCTGACCATTGCCGCAGATGCAGATACAAGCACAAACGTACCAGAACGAGACATTGGGATGCCAAACACCACTGTTGACACTGATGCCACGGAATCAACAGAGAAGCCAAGCACTGCGATTGCACCAGAGACTGACGCGACGACAGCGGCCATCATGGCCTTGCTCCAGGCTACCACCATGGCTGAGCGCCAAAGGTGATGAAGGACTCCAGAACAATTTTTCCAACTCTTTTCACTTCTCCTGATTTCATTGGTAAGGCCGAAAGTTTCCTGAACGGAACCGTTGCCAAATGGACAACGTGGTCTTGCACAGACCTATGCAGATGCAAAATAGGCGTGTGTGGAAAAACACACACACACACACACACACCCTCACACACACACACACACACAACACACACACACCAACACACACACACAACACACGCACACACACACCAACGCACGCACGCACACGCACACGCACACGCACACGCACACGCACACACGCACACGCACACGCACACGCACACACACAAGCCCCTTTGCAGTCACGAGCACTGCACTCAAGTGGATCAGCAGCAGATTCCCGTGCCCATTGATCTGACTGCCCGGCGCGACCAGCCATACGACGGCGGCGCTACATCCTTGCTGCGCAACGACGACTAGAATATTTTTTCACATTTTGCTCATCCTGGGATACAGTGGAGAACCATCATTTACAGAACTCCAAACCGCTGACATACTTCATCGACATCGAGCTCAGGTTGTCAAGGACTTGCCTTTGATTTTGCAATTTGATATTTTTCAGATTGACAACACCGTTCACCATCTGGCCTTCTGCGGTGGGGCTCCCTTCTGGGTTGGACAACAGGCAATCAACAGCGATTATTTCCTTTTTCCCATTATTGCACTGGACACCGGCCAAACCACAGCCTTCTGCGGTGGGGCAATTGCGACGATTTTTAATACATTTGACACCCAACTCCTCAGTGGTTACACCGGTTGTTTTCTGACCTTCTGCGGTGGGGTTTACAATCACAACAATTTGCAACATTCAGCATTTTGGCCTCAGGGCGACACCGTACATTCTTTTGCCTTCTGCGGTGGGGCTTGCACCTCAGGCTCATTTGATTTTGCTCCAGCACCACCTCCATTGGCATATAAATTGAGGAAGCACACCGAGCATTTTGCTGCCTTCTGCGGTGGGGCCCAATACACAGTGCACGATCATTTGGCTGATCAAGTTTTTCTGGACGAGCTACCACCCTGTTTTGGATACACCGGACCATATCTGACCTTCTGCGGTGGGGTTCACAATCACAATCATTTGCAAAGTACAACATTTTGGACACAGGGCGACACCGTATATTCTTTTGCCTTCTGCGGTGGGGCTTGCACTTCAGGCTCATTTGATTTTGCTCCAGGCCCACATCCCTTGGCATACAAATTGAGGAAGCACACTGAGAATTTAGCTGCCTTCTGCGGTGGGGCCCAATTCACAGTGCACGATCATTTGGCTGATCAAGTTTTTCTGGACGAGCTACCACCCTGTTTTGGATACACCGGACCACATCTGACCTTCTGCGGTGGGGTTTTCTGGGTACAGATTTTGCAGGCTTTTCAGATCATTCTTGATTTGAATAATACAGACAACACCGATCTGACACTGACCTTCTGCGGTGGGGTTCCCTGGCCGAGACATCTCAACCATTTGTGTGCAGCAGGACACACCGATTTTTCTGCCTTCTGCGGTGGGGTTTTCATCTCTTGCTGCTACAATTGCGGGCGTTTTCAATTTGGTGCAGATATTTTCAGTGCAACAGCAGGCAACAATCTGATCCTGTGGACAAGTGACACCGATCTGTTTCTGGCCTTCTGCGGTGGGGCTCCACTACAGGTAGTACATCTACGCACAGGTCATTGTGGTTGCTACGCAAACTGGACAGCGACAGACCACCTTGGTGTTGCCCACGCTGATTTTGCCTTTGTACCTGCATTTTCAGAATTGAGTGGCGATTTCACTATCCTGCCACTGCAGACAAGGCGTCAATCAGTGCTGGATTGGATTTGGATACTGCTACTGTGTTTGATTTGCGGTGCATTTTACAATTTTCAACTCCTGCTGGCCAACGCTGCCCTTGAGTTTGAGCGCGCATTTTGGAATTTTTTCTGGACACTCATTCTGCCGTTTTGGGATTTTGGAAACATTTTTGATTGCCTTTGGAAAGTCGTCATTGCGGAAAAAAGGACCTCTTCCACCTGTGTGCCTGAATTGTTTCAAGAAAGAGACTGCCAACCCGGTCCCAAGTCCGGGCGTTCCTGGTGCTCAATCCTGCCTTTTCACCTTAGGATCAGCCTGACCTTACTCTGCATGGTTTTGATCACTGAGAACGGGGGTGAGGGTAGTGGATCAGTCATGGGATCCACTGAAACGCCAGATATCTCCTTTTTGCAGAATATTCACCATATGTTTGGCGTGAAGCAACATGACATTGGACCACCAGCAAGCTCTGCACCCAAGAGCACCAACCTTACCGATGTCAAGAAAAGAAGTTTGAAAAGAGCATACAAGAGAGCCTGCCTGCAAGGCGTTGCATGGTATCGCGGCAGACTGTACAGACCAGATGACTTCCATTTCATGCCTTCCTTCTCCGTTTCTCCTGTGACACCAGAGACTACCCCAGTTTTGCCACCGAAAGCCCTGAATCAGTGCCATCAAATTCATGGCTCAAAATCCCGCCTCACCTGCTTGCAGTGGAATGTTGGAGGTTTGTCCACGCATCGACTGGACGAGATCAAGATTTGGCTTTCTCAACAACAAGTCCACATAGTGACGCTGTTAGAGACAAGGTGGCAGTATACGGGAGAGTGGCTTGACTCACAATGGATCCATGTGCATTCAGGTAGTTTGGAAGACCGTGGAATGGGTATTCTCACTCTGATTTCACGCAAGCTCTGCCAACCCCATGCCTTGCGTTGGACTGAAGCCATTGTAGGACGCCTTCTTCATCTGAGAGTGCCATTGCAGAACAGATCCATAGACATAGTCTGTGGATATCAACATGTGGACAAGAGAGGACCCCAATGTATGCAACGTCGTGAGCACTGGTGGGGCTGTCTGGATCGCACACTCCAGGGTCTCCCTCATCGTAATATGCTCATGTTGATGGCTGACTTCAACACCAATGTGCCGCCCTGCCCCTCTCACTCTGGCAGTGACCAGTATTGGTGGCGGGGTTTGCTGGTTCGAGGTTCTCAACATCAAGATGCTGGCCGCCTGATTTCCATTTTGAGATTTCATGGCTTAGTGGTTTTGAACTCATGGAACTCCAGAGATGGGCCCACGTATGTGCATGGGCAACATTCAAGCAGAATTGACTTTGGATGTGTTCGTAAATCCCAGGTTGATGGCATCGCCAAACAGCCGCGATACTTGTGGCAAGCACCATTCATGGGAACCACCCAGCATGGCCATGTTCCCATTGTCCATCAAATTGCGCTGTTTTGGGCCCCCACGCGTCCATTGAAACAGGGAAATATCAGTAAACAACAGAGTCTTCAGGCACATGCAGCATACCAATCCAATGCGTCTCAATGGGACACCTATGTCGAGCATTCTGCGGCCGTCATGACGCAAGCCTTGCATCAGGTATGGACCTCAGATCTGCCCCAGGACACTAGCTTGGACTCATTTCATGCTGCAGTGAATGCATGTTTTCATGAGCATTTTCCCCCCATGAGTGCTCCCAAGAGACATGAACCCTGGAGACATTCCACAACACAGGTTCTCACCAAATGGCAACATCGAGCTAAACTCCAACAAATCAGGTCTTGTACCGGTGCTGGAGTATTCAGAGCATGGCATCACCTTGCCCGCTATGCAAGCCTCAGAAGGCAACATCGCAGGTTTGCTGCTCAGATCAGGCGTTCTCATTTTTGTGATATTGTTCAACAGGCCCAAGCTGCGGCTAGTCGCCATGACATGCACCGTATGTTCAGCCTGATCAATCGCTACTCACCCAAGTCAGTGCGCCGCAGGATCCAAATCAGGAATCAAGCTGGTGCCATTGCCAGCCCCCAAGAAGAGCTGATAATCCTTAAAGATTTCGTTGCTGATATTTGGGGAGGACCCAGCAATATCCCGGTTGATTTCACTCAGGCGCCTGGAGTCCCGTTCACGGTCTCCGACCTTGCAGCAGCTCTGAGAAGCATACCATTGCACCGTGCGGTAGCCATGCCATTTGCCCCTGGCATTGCCTGGCGTCCACAGAGCCATATCATTGCCCCCATCTTGCACCACATTTTGTGTAAATGGTGGAGTGTTACCCCTCCATACATACCGCAGTGCTGGCGTGATGGATGGATGATCATGCTGGGGAAACCGCACAAGCCTGCCACTACGCCGTATAATTTGCGGCCGATTGCGCTGCAAGATCCGGTAGGTAAGGCCCTTGTGGGTCTACTAATTCATGCCGCCAATGCAGATGCCCAACCCCTGCTTCTGCCCTGGCCCATTTGGGCCTATCTCCCCAGGAGATCAACGCTGGATGCTGTTTGTAGGGTTGCATTTCATTGTAGTCAGGTCCAAAAATTAGTAGCCTCTCAAAAACCTACCCCTCATGCCAGGGCAGCTGCACATCCCATGTACCGTTTTTGCGGCGGCGTGACCATCATGTTGGACCTGGAACGGGCATTTGATGGGGTCTCACGTGCCAAATTGTTTAGCCAGCTACATCACCTGAATATCCGACCCTCGGTCATTCAGCTATTGACACATTGGCATATCAACACCCAATACCACTTCCAACATGGCCACGACATGATTGCCCTTCCAACGGGCGCTGGCCTGAGGCAAGGATGTAAGGCCGCTCCAGGCCTATGGAACTTTATGATAGTCCTATGTTTGCATCGGGTGTCTGATCATCTCCCCATTGCATGGTTGCGTCATCATCTCAACATTTACGCCGACGATTACCAGGTTGGTGGAATGTTTTACTCCTATGCTGATTTGGAGTTTCTGTTACAAGCTTTTGGCATTTTACTGGACACCTTGCGTGAGTTTTCTCTCAAACTGAATGCTAAGAAGTCTGCTGCACTCTTAGCAGTAGCGGGCACCTCTCATCGACACCAGAGAGCACGCTTTGTGACTGCCAAAAGTGATTGTGAACAGCTGCGCATTCCCCTACCCACTGGTGAGGAGATCTTGATTCCAATTCAAACCCAAGTCAAATATCTTGGAACTGTCATGACATACAAAGATTGTCAGGCTGCCACCTTGAAGCACCGCATGAGTCTTGCACGTATTGCACAACGCAGACTTGGAAGATGGCTCAGGGGAAAGCATGTCTTCAAAATCAGCTCCAGATTTCAGCTTTGGAAATCCACTGTCATGCCAGTTTTAACATATGGACTTTTTTCCACAGGCATTTCCACCCATGGTATCATGTGTTTGCAAAAAGAAATGTACAAAATGCTGCGCCAAGTGACGTGTGACCATGCCTTTCGTACAGGTCGAACTAATCATTCTGCCTTAGCACAGCACGGTATTCCCACGCCACTGCAGCAATTGCGAGCTGCTGCCAAGCAACTTTTGCAGTCCACCACTCAACGCATGACCACATTGCAGGAAGATGATATCGCCTTGCAACTACCCTGGGGACATTTGTCTGAGCTGGTTGCCAAGCTGGAACACACTCAGGAACTGAGTCCACCGCCTGTTGAGCCTACTGAGTTGCGTGCCGGGCCTAATGCTGGTGAGATATATCAATGTTGCCTTTGTGACTTTCTTGCCACTGACGTTGCCTCATTCAGACGACACTGTACGCTGATCCATGGACAAAGGGTTCCCAAAAGACATTTTGCCACGGCATCACATTTCACCACCAATGGGTTGCCTGAATGTACTTTTTGTGGACAATCCTTTTCAACATGGCGCAGCTTTCAAACACACATTGAGCGGGGCTGTCAGGTCTTGTACTCCGGACCCTGTGCAGTGGAGCCCTACACAGCCCTTGGTGCCAAAGCTTACATGACTGGAACGGCCTTGGCTGCCGGTGAACTAGCTGTCCGAAGCCCAAACATGTTGCCTGAATCAGAGCTTGGAAATTTGAGACGTGCCCCTTTTGGACCTGCACTCTGGCAGATCCTGGAAACCAGGGATTGGAACAGACTGGAAACCTTGCCAGAAGCATGTCATTACATGGCCAAAAGATGTATTCTTTGTGGACTGCACTACAACCGTGTGCAGGAACTGAATGCCCATTTCCGTACCATGCATGGCCACTATTGGGAAGGTGTTCCTCAACGTGCAGTGTACATGTCCAACACGTGGGCTACAGAAAGACCCTGTCCATTTTGTGGGGCGTTGTTCAAGTCTCATCTTTGCCCGGTCTGGGTTCAGGTCACGGTCCTCCTCCTTTTTGGAGCTGCTGCGCCCCCTGATGAATCGCAGCCTGAGGCCAATAACCCTGGACTGCGTTGTGAAGTTTGTCTTGAAAGCTTTGAGACCTTAGCCAGTCTTACTGAGCACCTACAAAGTGAGCATGCACTCCAGGGCATGGCGTTCAATGTGGCCAGGGACAGTGTGGCAGGCAGCCCAGCGTGTGCCCATTGCGGCACTTTATACGACAACTTGTCCAGTCTTCGTTCACACATAAACCAGGGCAGATGTTTGCAATTCCGGCCGGACGCAACAGCCGAGTCCTTGCCAATCCGACCAGACTGGGTGCAGGCCTGTGTTGAGGGCCAAATGAAGATTGTGTTAGGCAATGCTCAGTCTCGCATGGCCTTGACGCTGCATTGCCAACTCTGTGGGGTGCATTACGCACGTTCCACCGACCTTTCATGCCATCTCCAGGGAAGCCACGCCAGACTTTGGCGCTGTTCTCAACAACTGACGCTGCTTTTGGTTCGGCTGTTTTATGCCTCTGGCCAATGTGTATGCAACCCATCTCAACATCAAAACCGGCTTGATCACACATGTTTGCCACTCAGGCAGCTTGCAATGATTTTCCACAAGATGGACAACAAGTTATTTGCTCCTTTTCAGGCCAGTGAGTATGCCTTGAACCTGATTTTGTCCACTGCCTTGGACCGCCACACCAGATTGATGTTTGAACAGATCGCCATTCAGCATCAGTACGAGCGCCTTTGGCAGGACCAGCAATGCTTGACCACCATGCGCACCCAATGTTTGCTTTGCGGATGTGAATGTGCACCCAGCGCAATGCCACAGCACTTGCGGGAGGTGCATCCATGCAATCAACTTGCCATGACTTTCTACATGACACTGCTGACTTCATTGATGATGGAGCAACAGCTGATTGATCATCAGTGCTATGCATGCCTGCAGATTTTCAATTTGCCGGCTGCTTCAGATGCCGCACCAGATCCAGCACGCAAGCATTTGGCTCAGTCTCACTTGCTGCACAACTGCCCCAATTTGCTGCAAGTGGCATTGTTTTTAACGGGCTTGCTTCATGACGGACGACTCCTTGATGACCAATACGGACTTACTGGCCCAGCAGCAAGTCCTGGAAACCTTCAAGGGGCTGGCACCGCTGCTTGGCACAGCGCAATTGGCCCCAAACCCAAGAGAGCCAAAACGCAGCAAACGCCATCACGACAAAGCCGGCAATGCAGCCCAGCCGACAATGCAGGTGGCCCAGCCACCTCAGCTACAGCAGCTGAACGCCCTGGTTCAGCAACTGGCGCTCCTGGTTCTTCGTCACGATCGAGAACTCAACCAGAGCCGTCGAGCAGACAGCTTCGTTCTTTTTTTCAACCGAGACCCAAAGAGCGGCTTGCAGGGGCTGATTCAGGCAACGCAGACCTGGCAGGAGCAGCGCAAGTCATCAACGATACCGATGATGACGCTGAGACAACACCTGACCCAGTGCTTGTTCCAAGATCTCTTGGTGAAGGTGATGAAGATCGCAGAAGCCAAACCAGAGGACCCACTCCACATTGCTTCAGTGCAGAGTCAGCTGATCGACGGAGAAGGGAATTGGCCGTTCCTGGAATGGGATCCCAAAGCCAAACAATTGGTGGTCAGCTCCAAGCCTCCAATCAGTATGACGCTGATGACCAGACATGCACAACAGCTTGTGGAGATGTTCAAGAACCCGGACCTGGTGCTCTGCTTTCGGTCCTTGCAGACCAGTCAGGATGCTCCGATCTGCCCATGGAGGCTGCAGCTTTGTCCCCGAGCGGATCAGGAGTGGGAGCTTCTGAACAGGCTCTCCCGCAGCAGCGTGTGGACCCTCCTAGGGACAATGCTCAAACCACATGCTCTGAATCAATGCGGCCTGGCGGACACGATCCAACACACCATGGGACATCAGCCGAAGCATGGGAAGGGCAAAGGCAGACTTCGACCCCCAGCCAGTCCTCAGACGTCGACATGAGACCTCCATTGGCTATGCTGCTCCATGTTCTGAGCCATTTACGTTTTCACAATGACAGCAACTGGTGCTTTGCCAACAGCACCATTTTCAGCCTGCTTTGGTGTATGATGTCGATGCAATGTGAAGCAAGCTCATTGGGGTCAAATTTTGCAGAAGTGATTCAATGTTTGCCTTGTCACAATTTGCAATCAGTTGCGTTGAAAGATCTTGGATGGTTCAATCAGCTTCTGCAGAATTGGGGTGCCTTTCATGGTAATCACCGGGGTAGACAGCAGGATGCTTCGGAATTTGCGACTGCTGTGTTGTCGTGGCTGTGTGCACCAGCGATCAACATGACCTGGGAGCGCCGAGTGGAAGAAATGGAATGTATTCATGCACATGACCGTGGTGATGCCTTCATGCCCATTACACTTTCATTTCCAGCCACACATGTGCACCTGCCTGACACACTTTACACGTTGACACATCTCATGCGCTTGTGGATGCAAGTTGATGGAATGATTGCTGCCTTGACGCAGGCGCCTCAATGCATATGCCTTCATTTGGACCGTTTCTATGATGCCGAGGACACCATTTTGAAGAGCCAGTGCCTTATTGATATGGAAGCTGGGTGTGATGTTCCGGTATTCATTGACCACTCCCAAAGAAGGGAATTTGTCAGCTATGTATTGCTCTCTGCAACGGCACACCTTGGCAATGTGAAGGGAGGTCATTATCAGGCAGTGCTGAAAACCAGACCGGCAGTCCAGCAGAATGGACAGCCAATGCATTGGTTGCTGACAAACGACTCCATGGCAGCCCAACCGATATGGCTTGTTCCAGACTGGTTTCGGCGCAATTCCACTGTTTTCTGGTTGGCCAGGGCAGACTGCGTCCAGCTGCATGTGTATCGCCCCTTGCCGCAGACAGACATTGCAGCACCTGATGAACCAGATCTGACCATTGCCGCAGATGCAGATACAAGCACAAACGTACCAGAACGAGACATTGGGATGCCAAACACCACTGTTGACACTGATGCCACGGAATCAACAGAGAAGCCAAGCACTGCGATTGCACCAGAGACTGACGCGACGACAGCGGCCATCATGGCCTTGCTCCAGGCTACCACCATGGCTGAGCGCCAAAGGTGATGAAGGACTCCAGAACAATTTTTCCAACTCTTTTCACTTCTCCTGATTTCATTGGTAAGGCCGAAAGTTTCCTGAACGGAACCGTTGCCAAATGGACAACGTGGTCTTGCACAGACCTATGCAGATGCAAAATAGGCGTGTGTGGAAAAACACACACACACACACACACACCCTCACACACCCCCCACCCACCCACCACCCACCCACCCACCCACCCACCCACCCCCCACCCACCCCACCCACCCCACACCCACCCCAGCCCCACCCCACACCCACCCACCCACCCCCCCACCCACCCCCCCCACCCCCCTCCCCACCCAACCACCCACCCACTCCCCCACCCGCCCCCCACCCACACACACACCACACCCCACCCACACACACACCCCCACCCGCACACACCCACACACCCCCACACACACCCACACACACCCCACACACCCCCACACCCACACACCCACACACCCACACACCCACACACCCACACACCCACACACCCACACACCCACACACCCACACACCCACACACCCACACACCCACACACCACACACCCACACACCACACACCCACACACCACACACACCACACACCACACACACACACCACCCACACCACACCCACACACCCACACACCCACACACCCACACACCCACACACCCACACACCCACACACCACACACCACACACCACACACACACCACACACCACACACCACACACACACACACACCACACACCACACACCACACACACACACCACACACACACACACACACACACACACCACACACACACACACACACACAACACACACACACCACACACACACACACACACACACACACACACACACACACACACACACACAACACACACACCCACCACACCCACCACACCCACCACACACAACACACACACACAACACACACACACAACACACACACACAACACACACACACACACCCACACACACACACACACACACACACACACACACCCACACAACACACACACAAACCCACACACACACACACATACACACCCACACACCACACACAACCACACACACACCGCACACACCCACACACCACACACACACACACACCACACCACACACACACACACGTCATCACACACACACACACGTCATCACTCACACACACACGTCATCACTCACACACACACACACACACGTCATCACACACACACACACGTCATCACTCACACACACACACACACACGTCATCACTCACACACACACACACACGTCATCACTCACACACACACACACACATCCCACACACAATATCATCAAGCATCGCATCCAATACATCACTCACACACACACACATCCCACACACAATATCATCAAGCATCGCATCCAATACATCACTCACACACACACATCCCACACATAATATCATCAAACATCATTTGCGTGGCAGGCGTGGGACTTGGTGCACTGCAAAGGGGTTGGATGTGCGCCCCGGTGTCCCTCCGGTGTCCCTCAGGTGTCCCTCCGGTCTCCCTCCGGTGTCCCTCCGGTGTCCCTCCGGTGTCCCTCCGGTGTCCCTCCGCTTTCCCTCCGCATTCCCTCCGGTGTCCCTCCGGTGTCCCTCCGGTGTCCCTCCGGTGTCCCTCCGTCTCCGCCGCTCTGCCGGTGGCTTTTGCGTGGCAGAAGTGGGACTTGGTGCACTGCAAAGGGGTCGGATGTACGCCCCGGTGTCCCTCTGGTGTCCCTCCGGTGTCCCTCCGGTGTCCCTCCGGTGTCCCTCCGGTGTCCCTCCGGGGTCCCTCCGGTGTCCCTTGGTCTCCGCCGCTCTGCCGGTGGCTTTTGCGTGGCAGAAGCGGGACTTGGTGCACTGCAAAGGGGTCGGATGTACGCCCCGGTGTCCCTCTGGTGTCCCTCCGGTGTCCCTCCGGTGTCCCTCCGGTGTCCCTCCGGTGTCCCTCCGGTTTCCCTCCGCATTCCCTCCGGTGTCCCTCCGGTGTCCCTCCGGGGTCCCTCCAGGGTCCCTCCGGTGTCCCTCCGGTGTCCCTTGGTCTCCGCCGCTCTGCCGGTGGCTTTTGCGTGGCAGAAGTGGGACTTGGTGCACTGCAAAGGGGTCGGATGTACGTCCCGGTGTCCCTCCGGTGTTTTGCAGTGTCCCACCATTCTCCCTCCCATGTCCCTCCGGTGTCCCTTCGGTGTCCCTCCGGTGTCTCTCCGGTGTCCCTCCGGTGTCCCTTGGTCTCCGCCGCTCTGCCGGTGGCTTTTGCGTGGCAGGCGCGGGGCTTGGTGCTCACACGAAAATAATATCACCCCAGACACACGTACACATACGTATAACATCCGCATGTACATCACATATATTAAAAACTGCCTCTTACACCCGGTACACATGTCGTTAACACATTACCAAAGTGACACACCTGTCCATGCACATACATACATACATACACACAAACTCACCCACCATCACCCCTCCATCACTCTCATACTTCCTCTTCCCTTGTTGCTTTTCTATGCTCAGTCTAAGTCTGGTGAAGTTGTTAACATGTGGGGTTATCCGGTCCTATATTTTTTTAAATCATACTACTACTACTACTACTACTACTACGACGACGACGACGACGCCGGCGACGACGACGACGACGACTACTACGACGACGACGACGACTACTACGACTACTACGACTACTACGACTACTACGACTACTACGACTACTACGACTACTACGACTACTACGACTACGACTACTACGACTACTACGACTACTACGACTACGACTACGACTACGACTACGACTACTACGACTACGACTACTACTACTACTACTACTGCAACAATACCAGTGTATATCATTATATACTTATACTTATATGTATATATATATACACACCATTTTATCATTACATCATAACACTATTACACCATTATACATACCATAGTACTATTTTATCATATATGATATCATTATATCATTGTGGAGAGAGAGAGATATATATTTATAATACCACAGGAGTTACAATGATGCCAACGCTACCGAACTGAACAATTCCGATTTTTCAGGGCTTGTTCCCTAGGGCCTTAGTCCGCAAAAGTTCATGACATGGTCCATGTTGTTCGATAGCCATCACGCCATGGTTGTTTGTCAACAACTCTTTAGATACCAAGTTTGCAACTCACATTGTTTTCCCCAGAAAAGTCAGTGGATGAGCAGTTGTGGCTCTGATGAAAACCAAACCATTTATTTTCATTTTTATTTTTACAATCCCCATCTATGTTGTTTCTTTCAATGCGATCTTTCTAAAAGCTGTTCTGGTGATTGATGTCAAACATTTCACAAGTCATTCTATTTGATATGGTCATTTTGGCCAGACCGACTCTAATTCAGTTTTGGTGCACGAGCTTCTGGTCCGTTGGTCAATCGTGAGGGTCTTGAGGTTGATCAGACAACGGGAAACTGGGCCACATGGCATTTTTTTGGGGTCTGAACATGGGTAGGCTCTGATTTATAGCTATCAAGTAATAAGGAACATGATGATTGACTAGTGGATGGATGCTCTACCCCATTTTGAAAGAATTCCAAATATTTGTTGTTCTTGACTTGAGAGCAAAACGGCTGGTCATCTAGGATGTCCCAGCATGCATTTTTAGGTGTCAACTATTTTGTCTCATACCCGCATATTTCATCTTGTTTCATTTGGTACAGTAGATGACCTGCGTGATTGGAGTATTGGAGTATGGAAAACAATGAGAACCAAAGAACAAAACACAGCATCTTTGGAACTGCTTGGAACATCATAATGCGGATGTGGTGAAATTATCACCTTGGTGATCGGATTCATCGGTAAACACGAAGTATGGTAGTCGTAACCAGTTA